TGAAAGACTGACCTATGTGTTAGAGAGAAGAGCTCGGCTCTTCGAGTCTCTGTCGGCCCCAGTGCCGAAATCGTAACGCCTCTGTAAATATGCTGTACATAAACCTTGTTTAACTCACCGTCGTCTCGTCCGCTCGTCTTATCAGCTCTGCGCAGAAGCAGTCGCGAGCTGATAAACATACGCTACCAAACGGCTGGTGACCTTCCCGGCGGAGTTGAAAGCAGTGGCGCCTTCGGCACCGTGTTGGCGTCGCCGTCTTTCGCAACAGTGGTGGCTTCGGCGGGATCGGTCCGTCGTTCGCAACAGTGGTTGGCAGCTGCGGGATCGGCCGGCGTCAGCGACATCGATGCGGTGAGTGCCTGATGTTTTCCCCTCAGTTCACCAGACTACTCTAGCTCAGGTTGTAGTAGTTTAGAGAAAGGGCTGTGTGAAGCATTGAAGTGAGCTTTGATCGTTTCAAGCCAAGTTGAAGTGCTTTGAAACCAAAGTTAATGCGGAGGTGGTAAACACGGGAGGGTGAAAAATTGCTTGCGCGTCTTGCTAGTAGGCTTATAGTGGGTACGGCAAGTAGATTCTTAACAGGGGCAAACAGCAAGAGGCTAGTGTGAACGATGGAGAACCTTAAAGTGAAGGAACTCATCGAAATTTGTGAGGAACTCGGCATTACTTTGGGCCGTGCGAAACGAAAGCAAGCGATCCTTGATATCATGAAGGATGAGGGAGTGTCGGCTGAGGAAGTCGATGAGGCCTGGGTGGATATTAAAGCACGCCGTGAGGAGGCTGAAAGGCGAGAAGTAGAAGCTCGCGAACGTGAGGAGGCTGAAAGGCGAGAAGCTCGTGAAGAAGCTGAAAGGCGCGAAGCTCGCGAACGTGAAGAAGCTGAAAGGCGCGAAGCTCGCGAACGTGAAGAAGCTGAAAGGCGCGAACGACGCGAGGAGGCCGAGAGACAGGAGCGTCTCGAGTTGAAACGACTAGAATTGGCAATCCTACAGTGTTCGCAGGCGCCTAGCGTAGCTTCTCCGACGATTCAGGTCAGCGGTTTTAGAATTCGGGACCAACTGCCACCGTTCGTAGTAGGCGAGGACATGGCAAAGTATCTCGTCAAGTTTGAACACGTCTGTGAGCGAAACGCTTTGGAGCGGTGTCTTTGGGCGCGGAACCTGTTAGCTCTTCTTCCCGGCGAAGTGTCCGACGCATTAACTTGCTTGTCGAGGGAAGCGTTTGAGAGCTATGACGAGGTTAAGGAAGTGCTCTTGAGACGTTATAAGTTGTCACCCGAGGCTTTCAGGCAAAGGTTCCGGTATGCTGAAAAGGGGAATGAGTCACACGTTGACTTCGCGTTTCGTCTTAAAGCCGATTTGATTGAATGGCTCAAGGGCGAAGGTGTTTATGACGACCGCGATAAAGTGGTGGAATGCGTTGCATTGGAGCAATTCTACCGCTGCATCGAGGAGGATGTCAAACTTTGGCTGCAGGACAGACTTGGGGACGTACAGTTAAACAAGGCAGCAGAGTTAGCTGAGGAGTATTATACTCGCCGAAAGTTGCACAGCAGGGCAGTGCGCGTTGAAAAGGATGAGAGAAAAGAGGGCTTTTCAAAGAAACCTGATCAACGGAGACCCGTTCCGCATCGTAATTTCAAGAAGGACCCGTCTCTTACGAAGGACAGTGTAGGGGAAGGGCAAACAGAAGCGGAGAAATCGAGTGAGGTTTCTACCACACAGGCATTAGAACCGGAAAACAAACGGAAGCCGCTAATCTGCTACAACTGTAAAAAGGAAGGGCACATCGCGAGAAACTGTCAGGAAAAGTTTGCCTTCGCAACGATCCGAGAATCAGAAAAAAACATTCGGTTGTTGGAGCCGTATCTCCAAGAAATTAGGGTCAATGAGAAAACGTGCCGAGCACTTAGAGACTCAGCGGCAACCATGGACGTTGTCCATCCTTCATTGGTGTCTCCGGATGACTTCACAGGAGAATGCGCGTGGATTAGGCAAGTCGCCGAGGTGCAGAGTGTTCGCTTACCAATCGCCACGGTTGTCATTGAAGGCCCGTTCGGTAAGCTTTGCACCGAAGCAGCTGTGTCTGCCGCGCTAAATGATCGTTTTCCTTATCTCTTCTCCAACAACTCAGAGCAGCTTCTCAGAGAGCAGGGTAAATCGTTCTTCCCCAACTTAGCGTGCATGGCTCTCACGCGATCGCAAGCGCGAAAGCTTTCGCGAAAGCTTGACTTGGTTCCATGCGGTGAACTCTCAAGTGACCTTGTCGGCGGGTCGACGGAACCCCAGAAAGGAAAGTTTCCGCATGAGTCATGTGAGCAGTCACGCGAGCGGCCCGTCGCCGAACCTAGCTGCGCGGTTTCCGGAGAAAGGGGAGACGACATGGCGCCATTGAGTCAGAGCGAGAGGGTTGCAACGCTCTCGCCTGTAGCGGAAAGTTGGAGCGAGCTGTCGAGAGTTGATCGAGAGACGCTCATTGGAGAGCAACGTGAGGATTTCTCGATTGAAGCGCTAGTGGAAAGCAAAATTGAAGCGCGAGTGGAAAGCCAGAAAAACGCGGCAAAAGTGCTGTCGAAGGAGCACTACGAGGAATCGGTGAAGAAGCGTGCTTTTGAAGTAGGGAGTCAGATAATGCTGCTGCAGCCATCCAAAAGGAACAAGCTTGAGGTTGATTGGGAAGGGCCCGCCAAAGTATTATCGAAGCCTTGCGATACAAATTATGAAGTGAAATTAGGAAGGCGGCCGGACAAAATTTACAACTTGATGAAACCATGCGTTCAACATCAAGCGGTCGTAAATCTGTTGTTGAATGCTTCGGAGGAAGAGGAAGCAGAGATTTTGAGTTCTAGTGAGGTAATTGAAGGGGGATCGAAAGTAATCCAGGAGCAGATAAACCTAGAGCCTAGCTTCAGTGAAGAAGGACCTGAGAAAGAGGACCTGAGAAAGATTGGTTCCGAGTTTGAAGACGTGTTTTCGGACCGCCCCGGAAACACGAGGGTGATCGAACACGATATCGAGCTAAGCGGTGAGGAGTCAATCCGTGGCAAGCCGTATCGTTGTTCCCCTGTGCAACGTCGAAAGTGTGAGCCGCTCTTGGTGCCGCATAGGTATCGTCGCCTAAAAGTGGCCGGTTACTGAGGTGGAGCATGTTGCTCCACAGCGCAACTTTGACGTTCGCTAAAGAAAAAAAAAAAAGGGAAAAGGTAAACGTTAATGCAGGCGCATTGAGCAGTGCGTTTAGTTAGTACCTTCTCAACCTTTCGGTTTCTGGCTGGCGATTCGGGGCAAAAATTTTGACCTCATCACGACCTTAGCTGAGCGCTCTCGTTTAGAGTGATCTCAAGGGGCCAACTTTGTGGTATTCTAATTCGTTACGTTGGTGTACGTGGGAAAAAAAAATTGAGTTGTCATTTTAAGAGTCTTTTGTCCCACATGTGCCTCTTGATGTAGAGGGAACAAAATTCCGATAAACACGTAGATAGGTATATGTTGTACTATACTTTGTCTGGTGTTCTGTCGGGTGACCGAGGGCACTTGCGTGTGTCGTGTGTTGTCTGTTGTCGAACCGTTCTTAGCAAGTTGCAGAACCATCGACAAGTGCTGAAACCGAAGATGGTCGGAAGAGACGAGCGAAGCTGGTCAACAAGTTGTGGCGACGAGCCAGTGGAGCTGGGATCCGTCGTCAAAATGGGATGTGTTCCCGGAACAGTCTGGAGCTGTAGTCTCCCCATGGCCCTGGAGGCGAACCTGGAGGGACCTGGCGAACGAGCGCACCTGACATCCGAGCCCCGTGGAAGCAGCTCGTCTTTCCGGTGCATTGTCTGGCGGCGGGGGTGCTGTTATGCCAGCGAGTCCTCGTCAAACGACCGTGCCTCTGAAAAAGGCAATCTGGGTCAAGGCCAGCCCGCAGTCTGCCTGGCGCGATCACCTCGACGGCGTGAACACGCGCGGCGCTCCTTTGGCCCACGTGCAGTGAGTCAGTTGCGCACGTGACAGCGAGTCAGTTGCGCACGTGACAGCGAGCCGGCGTCCTCGTGTCAGGTGGTCTGACGCATGGCGCGGCGGCCCCATTGGCGGAATCTGCCCGGACGACCAGCGGCGCTTCTGATTGGACATTTTGGTTGGACCCGGTGTAAATAAAAGAAGCCCTGCGGCGCGTCGCGATCGGCGGTCCTATGTGAGAGGCGTCCCCATGTCGGAGTGCCGACATGTGTGTGAGTCAGCGGTCTTAGGTGAAAGACTGACCTATGTGTTAGAGAGAAGAGCTCGGCTCTTCGAGTCTCTGTCGGCCCCAGTGCCGAAATTGTAACGCCTCTGTAAATATGCTGTACATAAACCTTGTTTAACTCACCGTCGTCTCGTCCGCTCGTCTTATCAGCTCTGCGCAGAAGCAGTCGCGAGCTGATAAACATACGCTACCAAACGGCTGGTGACCTTCCCGGCGGAGTTGAAAGCAGTGGCGCCTTCGGCACCGTGTTGGCGTCGCCGTCTTTCGCAACATGCCGCTCCACGGCACAGTTGCCACTGGTTTGGCACAGCTGCCAATGGTTTCGGCAGCAGCGATAACTTTCCTTTTAAAAGCAGCCGAATACTGCCTGTGCTGTGCTTACATAGAGTAAAATCACAGGAGCAAAGTCATGGACATCATTATGGTTGCCAAGTTGCAGCAAAGGCCACTGACGACTGTTGAACGCACGAGTCTGTAAGACTAATGCCTGTTACCGTCACTAACACTACCTAGCACCTAGCGCAGAAGCGCGCAAACACCTGATGATGATGACAGCACCGTGCTATGACAAAACCAAAAATGAATTTCGCTCGAAAATTCTGGGGACCCGCATATAGTACGAGGCTGAAATTTCGTACCCTGAAATCTAGGAAAAAAAAACAGGGCTATATGTGGGCTTTTACGGTACCTCAATTACAGAACTTAAATTAATGACAACAAATAAATCCTGATATGCTTTATTTGGCTCCGTTGCCTGTCTGGTTCGTACCCACCTCTCCGTAGCGCAGCTTGTTCGTCGTGTCGACCACACCGAGCATGTTGCGGGCTCGATCCACTGGCAGCGCAATGCGGGTCTTGTACCGGAGCCCCGCTAAAATTTCAAGAAACAAAAGGCGATTGAGGGGCTTGTTTGTTAGACACAACCTTAATGAAAACCAGCAGATAATGCTGGTTTCTATTAAAGGGGTGGTGCCATCAAATTTCGAGGCTATAACAAGCCTGTTGTGGGCTTCCCCTGTATGCAAAGACACTCCACACTATTGGTCAGACAGAGGAAACAAAGAATATATCTTAATTCACTTCCAAAATGTACCAAAATGCTCATTCTCCCTATCGAGGCCCATCGCCAGCACATCCAACACTGACATAGCTCTACAGGAAGGGCAGCAAAAGTTGCAGCAGCAGCACACGAGAGCTGCAAGGTGACCGACCACCACACCTCTGCATACCGGCAAATCATCGTGGCTGCCGCAGCTAGCTATGGCAACTGTCGGTGCAGTTGTTTCGCAGGCGCTTGTGTGGCACGTGTGCGCGAGAGTAGACAATACTCAGCACGACGTGCATCACAGCCTTGTGTGATAATGTGACCAAGCCACTTATACTGCCCGGCTCGGCGGCAAGAAACCGAAACAAGTTATCCACATAAATAAGGCATTAAATTATCTAGCGGCAATACATGAATTTTGGTGCATAACTCGTGCTTCCTTGAGCTATAAGAAACTCTTGCAGCAAAGAACGCGCAAGCCAAAGATATTATGGAACCACTCGTTCAAGGCAAACAACATGGTGTTCCACACTCACCATCATGGCTACTAGCGGCACTAACACTCACAGGTTTGCATGGACATAAATACTTTATACAGTGACAGGGAGATCACTGCTGTCATAGCTCATTTGGCAAGAGCACTGGGCACAAAATCTGTAGGTTGCAGGTTCGGTCCCTGCCAGATGCAAGTTGTTTTTTTCATGTCCTAGTTGATGCACTACTCTAACAATGCAATTACCAACTCCTATACCTTCCTTGCTTTCCTTATCTGCTGTTTTTAATTGACAGAATGCTCTCTAATCAACACATCTTCACAACTAGAATCATTATGGGTAATATGCCGAGCCCCTCCCGAAGCAATAATACTTCGCGTATGCTATAGGCCCCCTCGAACTGACCCAGACTTCCCCCGCAAACTTAACGAAATCTTATCCCAGCTAACTAATAAACACCCTAACGCACGTATCCTGCTTTATGGGGATTTTAACTTTCCCTCCATTAATTGACTCGATCAGGTTTCACCAACCTCGGGAAATACTGAAGCAAGAGAATTCGTCGATGTTTGTCTCAACTTTAACCTCATCCAACAGGTAACCGAACCAGCGCGCGTCACTAGTAAATCCTCAAACATTTTAGACCTGGTACTAACAAATAGCCCAGAAAGCTTTAAATCTATTGCATACTTACGTGAAATCAGCGATCACAAAGTCATTCATACCATATTTAACTTCACACCAAAAATATGCCCCATCTTCCGCAAAACGATTCACTTGTATGATAAGGGTAATTATGAATTAATTAATCATGAATTACGAGATTTCCTACCATACTTTAACTCAGACTCGGTTTCTGTTCTCTCAATGACAGCTGGCTAATGCTTAAGGACAAGATAACTGACTTGACTAATAAATTCATCCCCACAGTGAGCTTTACTGCCAATAAAAATAAACCATGGTTTTCCAAAGGTTTGAAAACCCTTGAAAATAAAAAAAGCACCTCTTCCGTGCTGCAAAGTTTAATGGTAATGCGTGCGCATGGGGCAAGTACTATGCTGCGGAAGATGCTTATTATGCTGAAATTAGAAAAGCGAAACAGACATTGTATCACAATGATTTATCTAAAATTCTGAAATCTAACCCTAGAAAATCCTGGGGAAAATCATAAACCCGCAACTAACACGAGACATCATGCTTACACAGGATAAAAATTAAGACGTAAGCGAGACTGTTTGTGCCAATATCTTTAAGACCGCGTTCTCATCAGTGTTCACTAAAGAAGCCAACGTACCGTTTCCTATGCCACCTACTACGACATTACCAGTGATGGCCCCTGTTGGGTTATCCAATAGTGGCACTTCATCACTCATTGACAAATTAAAACTTTCATCATTGGCTGGCGTAGACAATAGTAACTCTAAATTCTTAAAAAATACTACGAAAATTATTGCAGTGTACTTTTCGATGATGTTCTCATTGTCACTCGAAACAGGAATTTTACCAGACGACTGGAAGGAGAGAAAGGTCATTCCAATCCACAAATCAGGTAACAGACAGTCCCCCTTAAATTATCGGCCCATCTCTTTAACAAGCGTCCCCTGCAAAATCATGGAACATGTCATATATTCTCACATCATGCACTTTCTTGACACCAACAATTTTTTTCATTCTTCCGAGCACGGATTTCGTAAATCATTATCCTGTGAAACCCAACTTGCTATATTTATTCATGATATACACTCTTCTCTCGACCGTCACTTTCAGACCGATGCAATCTTTCTCGACTTCGTAAAAGCCTTTGATAAGGTACCGCACAAACGCCTACTGTTAAAACTTTCCCAGCTGAACCTACACCCCAGCAATCTTGCATGGATCACACAATTTCTTACTAACCGCTCTCAGTTCGTCTCCATTTAAAATACCCGTTCTAGCTCCCTCCAAGTAACATTCGGCGTCCCCCAAGGATCTGTACTCGCACCCCTCTCGTTTTTAATATATATTAATGATCTTCTTGTTCATGTATCTTCCCATATCCGTTTATTTGCCGACGACTGTGTCATCTATCGCACAGTTACTAACATTTCTGATCAAACTATACTCCAACAGGATCTTGATCTCATGCAACAGTGGTGTGATCTTCGGTTAATGAAGCTTAACCCCACTAAATGCAAACTCGTCTCAGTTCAACGCCAGCGTAATCCTTTATCATTCTCATACCTAATCTCTAATTCCGCTATCGAACAAGTTCAGTCATATAAATACCTAAGCGTCACCTTAACATCTGACCTTTCCTGGAACGCACACATCAACAACATCATATCATCCGCGAACAGATCCCTCGGTTTCCTAAAGCGTCATTTGCGTCACGCACCACTAGACATGAAACTTCTGGCTTACGAATCGCTCATCAGACCTAAACTAGAATATGCAGTGCCCATCTGGAGCCCGCACCAGATATACCTAATAAACGAAATAGAATCTGTACAAAATCGTGCCACTAGGTTCATTCACTCTTCATATTCATACGACATAAGCATATCATCCCTAAAACGTGACATTGATGTTGCTAATCTTTCTGTGCGTCGCCACATCGCCAGCCTCTGTTTGATTCACAAGTTTTTTCACAGTTCCCTCAATTAAGCACCTTACATCATCCCACCAATGCGCATCTCATCGCACAACCCATCCTTATTCAATCGCACGTGCACGCGCTCGCACTACTACTTTTTCTGCCTCATTTTTTCTTCGCACAGCAGTGGACTGGAATGGCCTTCCCCGTGACATTGCAGGCATCACGTGTTCATTGTCGTTTGCGCAAAACATAAATACATATTCTTTGTCAGAAGATCACTCTCTGTAACCTCCATTTGTTAATCCACCCCTTATGTAATACCCCCTCACCGGGGTCTTTAAGGCAATAAAGTGCAGTGAGGTGAAGTGAAGAGTACAGGACTTATTTAGCACAAGACACAAGCAATGTGACACAGCAATGAAACTCCAAACTCCACACAGTTGTACACGTGCCTTGAACCCTAAATTTCAGTCGTTCTGCCTTGTCCAGCATTTATGAATATCTCCACGTCTTCAGATTAAAAGAACCAACAAATGCTGGTCTGCTTTCCCTACAACCTCTGGCTCTTTATGCCTCGTCTTTAAAGAATGTGTATCAAGTTATTTCGATTACAATAGTCTACCTGTTCACTCTTGGAAGGGCCAACTTGCATTTGATAATAGCCTCTTAGTTGCACTGCACAGTGAATTTCATTTGAGAAACTATGCAAACGTGCCACTTTCCATTAAGCCACAAGTGCAGGAATGAAGTGCACACTTCGACCCACCCCTTAAGTCATTCTTGCAAAGAAACAAGTTGCCTATGCTAAAGGCAATAATGCTTCAGTAGTATGTCTACAGCAAAATTTACTGATTACATTTAGCACTCAACATCCTCAGAAGGAAAAAGGAAACATTACCCAGCTGCACCGGAAGAACAAACAGCCCAAAAAGCTTTCTTGCAGGATCAGTACTCTTGATCCTGTAATACTTTAGTATGAACTATCAAACATATCTTCAGAGGCATACGTTTCCAACAATAGCATCGGAGGTTTTACGTCCCAAATCTGCAATGCAATTATGAGGGGCGCTGTAGTGAAGGGTTCCGAAAATTTTGACCACCTAGTGTCCTTTAACGTGCGCCGACTTTGCACAGTACACGAGCCTCTACTATTTCACCCCCAGCAAAATGCGACCGTCATGGCCTGGATCAAACTCTTGACCATCGGTTCAGCAGCTAAGCAACACAGCCAGCGATCCACCGTGGCGGACAGCACACATTCGCATTCTCATGCTGTAATGCGGGCTATCAAGCACTTGCCAAGAACCCGCAATACAGCTTGGAGTGTAAACATATACGCAAAATTTATTGCACTCACAACCTGCAACTTCACCTCGTGAGCACATCACAAGAACTTACCGACTGCATTTCGGTACACAGCAAGAAGCAGAGACCGGAAGAACGGATCCAGCGTGAGCTGAAAACCCGCCTTGGAGAGGTCCTCGTACGGAAGCTGCAGCTTGGACCATGCAGACAGCACGTCGACAGCCCTGGCCTCGTTGACGAGGGCATCTGTGAACTCCAGGATCATGGACTCTTGCAAGTACACAAAAGTGTCGGTTGACACCCCCAGCTGCTCTAGGATGGTGATAAGTGGTCGATTCAGGGTCACCGAACCTGGCAAGAGGCACAAAATAAAAAATTGATTGATGTGCGAGCTTTAACATCCCAAAACCACCATACGATTATGAGAGACGCTGTAGTGGAGGGCTCCGGAAATTTAGACCACCCGGGGTTCTTTAACTTGCACCCAAATCTGAGCACTCGGGCCTACAGCATTTTTGCCTCCATAGAAAATGCAGCCGCCACAGCCGGAGTTCGGTCTCGCGACCTGCGGGTCAGCATCCGAGTACCTTAGCCACTAGACCACTTTGGCGGGGCGGAATGACCATGTGCATGACAATGAGGACTAGCGAAAGCACCGACAATGAGCGAATTGTGACTGGCCTTCAAGACAGCATATTCTACTTGCTAAATAAAGCTTTTTCTGTCTACATATGCGCTATGTTGCCAGAGCAGTAGCTTTTGTACAGCCTTTCCTTTGTATCAGATGTGCAGACAATACGCGAGGAATTTTTTTTTTTTCTTTCTTAGCAGGCTCAAAATGGGGGCGCGGATTATATGCAGGTGCGGGTTATACGTGCAAAATACATATGCTAATAAGCGATCTATACACATCAGTTCCTCAGAATGACAACACCAGAGGTATCATGACCAAGCGACAAATTTCAGCAGAGCTTTTTGCACTTGCAATGTACAGTGATCCCCCATGGCGACTGCCAATTTGGAGCAATTTTTGGAGCAGTCAAATTTTAGTTTTGGAGCACTTTGGAACAGCCAAACTTTAGCTTTGGAGTATTTTGGAACAGGTAATCTTGCTAATAGAAGCATTTTACAGCAGTAAAATTTGTTTTGGAGCAGGTAATCTTATTATTGGGAGCACTTTGGCATACATATACATTCATAATGGAGCACTAAAGAGAAGAAAGTACCTCAGACACTAATATTAAATGGACACTGACTTAGAACAAAGGATCTTTTAAGATTGAAAAAGGCTTTAGGAACTTTCACGTCGTCCTTTTCACCATCTCAGGTTTATATAGGTAAAACGTCTATTTCTGAATTTCGCGCTGAAATCTCTGCATGTGATATCAGGAATTTCAATGTGTTTTTTCTTTTACTTTAGAAACATTCGCTCAAAGTAATTTTTTTAGACTTAGTACGTTAGGTCTAGAGCCATCTCTGAAGTCAGTTTACTTTGTCTTTAGTACTTAGGACCTATGTAGGACCTAGTAAAAAAACGTCAAAATTTATAAAGTCACGGCCATTGATGCAACTATGTGAAGCCAGCTGAATTTTCTCTTTCCATGTTTTCTTGCTTACCGAGAGAGTTCTCATGGCAAGCATAGTGACTTTGGAATTATGAAAGCGTAATTTACTAATGTCGAATCTCACTAATTCGAACATGCTTTGAGCTTCAAGTTAATTAGAACTGATGCTGTGGTCCCGTCAAAGCTATGTGTATTCAAATGGGCGAAAATGTTCTGTAATCCAAACACGGAAGCACTTGTAACAGTTAATTTGAACATACCGTGCTCAGAAAATGCTCACAGCGCCACGCCCAATCCTACGGAGGCCCCCCCTCAACACCTCAACGCTGCACGCCAAGAAGTAAAAGAAGTAAAAGAAAGGCTGGGGCGAATGTTAGCTCTCTCTCAAATGCCAATCTGGGACACGCCTGTGCCACGCTTCTCCCTTTTCCTTCCCTGCCACATAGAGACCCTTCTCCTTTCAACGCCGCGCGCGGAAATTTATAAAGTGGTGGTGGTGGCGGTAAAGAATGGGGGCGTTATTTAGATGGTGGTAGTAGTGGTTAGAAGAAAAAAAAGAAGAAAGGTGCCCAATTTCTACAGCCCGGTAGTAAGCACGACACAGCGCCTTCACGAATGTTTGCTCTCTCTAAAATGCCAAGCTGCAATGCACAGGTGCCACGCCTCTCCCTTTCCCGTCGCTGACATGTAGCAACCCTTCTGTCAACGCCGCGCCCGAAGAAAGCACAAAAAAAAAGGTGCCGTAGAGTGTTAGTTATCTATCAAATGCCGATCTGCTTCTCTCCGCATGGAGATGCTCCTCCTTTCTCGTCACGTGCTGGCCACGCTGTGGCTGCAGTGCAAAGGGTAGCAGCGGAGACTCAGCCGTTGTCGTCTTAACATCTAGTATCGGCCTCCCAACCTCGACCAGGGGGCACTGCGCCGCATGCGTTTTGTCGCCTTTTTAGCAAGAGCCGGTGACTCAATACCCCGCTGCCACCTTCTGCCTGCGCTATCTCAGCACGTTCACTTGCTGTTATCTGGTCGCCCTCTATGTGCAGCGTCACCTGCGACTTGCTCCGAAGGTTTGAAAAGACTAAAAACTTTTTCACAGTGTGAATGCTGTCTGAGCTGAGAACGATTCATTGACAACCTTTGCGGGCCAAGCAAGTCAAACATGTCTTTGAGCTAGTGCTATGTGAATGTCAATGGTGAATAGCTGGCTTTCTACGACACTAAAAGTGGGTGAACGGCATGAATTTTCTAAGTATGTTACCGGTAAAATGCGCATTTGCTGTGGCCTTTGTGTCTTTTCGGAGCTGTCAGCAAACTACCTCCACCCATTCGCGTGCATTTGTATTCGGATTTCTATTGCTTGAATGGCAAGTTTTTCAAGCGGCTTTCAATTTATTAGGGGGTCAGTGTGAAGAGACTAAACTTACGTCTGCCCTGTTCAGTACTTGACACCATTTCAGTGCAGTGTGTTCGGTTTCATAAGAAGTTCACTTTTGCAGAGCTTTTCATCGGATGTTAACAAGGTCGTATCGTAAGTTCAATGACACCTTCAATTTTTTGCAGCTCCTTTGAAAGTATAATGATGCTCGCCAAAAAGCTTTTTCATGTCCACTTGAACCATGCATGTTTTTTGCAGCACATGTTTCATTTCGGATAATATCTACGCCTCATCACGGAGCGTGTTCACTGATTCGAGTGTCGATTAGGTTGCTTCGACAGCTCCCTTGGTCGTCATCATATTACACGATACTCGCAAAGATCTAGCAAGTTTTAGTTACGCCAAGATTTGCCCCTGATAACCGCGTCAAACTTCATGACACTATCAAAAGTTTTATATTTGCGTTGGTTCTTTTTTCAACTGACTTTCATAGCGGCAGCTCTATACCGCCCGCGGCTCGGGTACATGCAAGGACATACCGTATTTACTGGCGTAATCGGCACACTTGCTTACTAGGTGCACCTCTCCTTTGGTCGCGGAAAAATTCAAACGTTTAAATTTGGCGCATAATATGCGCACCCCGAACTTGGCCGTGATCAGAAACGATTCTACCCCTCAGCGGTACAGTTGAAACGTGGTCTCCATACCCTGAAAGAAAAAAAAAAGCATATCTTCGCGCAAATATCGAGTGCGACGACCTAACCAACGTGTTTGTCGAAATAAAGCTTGAAAAAAAAAAAAGAGTCTATGAGCGAAAAAAAAATGGCTGTTCCATCAATTACTGACATCTCCAAATCACCATGCTCCTTGGAGGTCACGAGTACAACGCCGGGGGCTCGATCGCCATCACCACCATCAGAGAAAAAGAAACAAACGCTATACTGCAAGCGGTGTGCGTACGTTGTAGTCGTGTGTTCAACTTTGGTACCACCATGGGGAAGTACGCGAGCTATATGGCTCGATTTAAACTGAAGGCAGTGCAGTACGCGCTGGAGCGTGGCAACTGGGCTGTAGGCAGGCACTTCGGTTTTGAAGAAACCAGTATTCAGTGCTGGAAAAATCAAGAAGAAAAACTTAAGGCGACGAAGAAGACTCGACGGGCTTTCCACGGTGCCAAGTCTGGCAGGTATCCGAACGTCGAAGAGCAACTGATCCGGCATATACAGGAGCTACGACAAGATGGCTGTGCTATGTCATTAGATATTGTGCAGACTGGGGCACACAAAATAGCCCGAGCGCAGCGCATCAAAGCAAAAGAGTTCAAAGCCAGCTCCGGATGGACAACCCATTTCATGCGGTGCTATGGCCTCGCACTGCGAAGGCGGACCACCATGTGCTAGTGCTTGCCCGCAGCATATGAGGACAAAGTGGTGGACTTCCACCGTTTCGTTATAAAGCTCCAACAGCAGAAAGACTTCACCCAGATCGACAATGCTGATCAAACCCCCTTTGCTTTGATATGCCGCGAAACACGACAGTAGAGAAGAAACGTGCATGGAGCATCATTGTCAGAACGTCTGGCGCTGATAATTAACGAGGCACCATAATGCTGGCGGTGACAGAGGATGGGCGCAAGCTACCACCTTACGCTATTGTTAACCGTAAGACGTTCCCAATGGCAAATTCCCCTCAAGGTATCTAGGTCAGAGTCCAGAAAAAAGGCTGGATGAGCAGGGAACTCATGGTGGAGTGAAACAGTCTGGGGTCGGCGGCCAGGTGGTCTGTTTCCGTTCATGCTTATCCTGGGACAGTTCTCGTAGGTACCTAGTAGACCGCGTACGAAATGGGCTAAAGGAGCCGCGCACAGATCTGGCAGTGATTCCAGGCGGCCTCACATTGATACTGCAGCTTTTGGACATGTCCTTGAATAAGACTTTCAAGGACAACGTTCGAAGGCTGCACAGCACCTGGACGGCTGGAGGACAACATCAGCTGACTTCAGGTGGTAAGATTTAGAGGCCACCTGTGAAAATGCTGTGCGTTTGGATTGTGGAAGCATGGCAGGCGATCTCCGATGAAGTCATCAAGAAAAGCTTCTAGAAGACGGGTGTCTCGAATGCACTGGATGCGAGTGAGGACGACATGTTGTGGGCTGCGGATGATTCGGACACTGAAAACGAATTACCACTCGGCGTCGATGAATGTGTGCTCTCCGACTCAGACTCCTAATAGGGAAAAGGAGGAACACCCACGACTTTTGTGTAAATTAATTTTGTGTGCGTGTGTGTGTGCAGTTGACGGCTCTCGCTCGTTCATTAAAAGATACACAGGTATGTTTGTTTTATGGCTAATTAATTGATGAACGATAAAGTTGCCCTTTACTTGACAAATGTGCAGATATAAAGCACGAGAAC